AATTTGGCAGAACATGGGCTAAAACTGCTGGTTGTATCTGCAGACAGTCCTATCCGCAGTTCCTCTTTTGAGGCTACATTGAAGCTATGTTGTTATGAGGACCCCAACTGTCGGTGTTTTACTAACCTACTCCTGGTAGGATGTCTAATGCCTATCAGTGTCTGTGCATGGAAAAGGGAGAGAGTGGAGGTCTTCAGCTGGAATACAAACCTTCTGCTCATGGTACATAGATTTAGCTGAGACTGTGTGCCTGTGTTGCCCAGGCACGCACCCTGGACTTTCTACAGATAGTAAATGACAGCCTCATTACTTTACAGACACTGTCTGGACGTCTAGGATTTAATTTAAGAACAAGGTTAGGTGCCCTCTTCCCCCAAGGGGGCAATGTGAGCCCATCGAGGCCGAAGGAACTGACTCCTCCAAAAAAGGAGATGTTTCATGAAACTAGCCCTGGGATGGAGAAAGGGAAGCAGTGCTAACAACAGCAGACTTCTGTTCAAAATTTCGGAAAGAAAATGAGTGGGGAAAAACTTGAAAAGGAAACTTAACAGCTCAATGATCCCCAACATCACCAAAAAGTGTCTTTTTTCAGGATGTTTACAGAGCTTCCCTGGATATCTGGGGAGTCTCATAACAGCACGTGTGTAACGCTGTGCCTGTGCTTATCAAGCAACCCAAAAGGAACAGATAAGAAATGACTGGCCCGTGTTCACAGAGAGTCTTTGGCAAGTCCCTACGATGTGTGCATCCAGGCTGGCTGTGGGAGTCCCTGTTTCTTGGCTCTATCTGTTAAATATACTTCTCCTTGCGCTGTGTCGTGTTTAAGAACAGCTGATATTTGTATTTATGGAAGCGTAAGTTGCTGTGCCAGACAGCACAGAGCTCCCCAGCACCTGTGCTATAGGCTGGGCTGCAAAAGCACAAGGTTTCTTCAGCAGCTAGTGCCTACTTTTAGCTCTGTGTTGAATCTCTGCTCTTGCTCGTCTCCAGTATTTTTATTTTTTTTTTTAAGAGAGGAAAACAAGCTCTTACCAAGGCTCAGAAAATGCCAGTGTAAGCCATGCCACTGCAGGTGAGTAATGAAACCAGCAGGTTTGGAACAAAATAATACTCACCTATGAAGGACAGCTGCCTTTCTTATGCACGCAGAATTAAAGATGATTCCTTGCTTGCTTCCAGACCATATTTCAAAAGCTTGCTTTTCCTGCTGATACACACACCATCTCCCATAACTACATGAACAGAGAAGAGGGAAAGCATTCTGTTAAAATGAAATATATGATTTCCTAACTCCATTTGCCTTACTTTTTGTGGTTGTACCATCAACCTGCCCCTTCACAATGCCTATTTAGCACTGGCTGTCCAAGTTTCGGATCCCAGAAAGACAGGACACCCTTTTGTATCTTAAGCACCCAGCTTCAGGCTGAGGTTCTTGTTGCACCCATGTGCTAGCAATGCTGCAGTTTTCACCAACAAACTCACCACACTGCTAGGAGAGTTGTTCTAAGAAATTATTGCTAAAGTATTCAGGCTTCCATGTTTTTATTAGTCCCTTGAGACTGTCATACCCTGATGTTGGTTCTTTGATGTGCAATATTTTGGGGATACTTTGGATGGGTCATTCTGGTTATTCTGGTAAGGGCCCTCTTGCATCAGACCCAAACTTGCAATTTTGTTTGCACAACATCTGAAGACATTACATGGAACACGCTGTTTGACCGTCCTGATACTGCTGTGTCTTTCAGGTATTCAGATTCATGACAGAAGACGAGATTTGTACTTTTAGCAACTGGATGTTTCTACTTTATTCTGAAAAAAAAAGTTCTTGCTATGAACTTTTATTATTTGCAACTGTGAATCAAGAGGAAATGAACTGCAACCATTCTGTGCTTTTTCTCTCAGTTGGAAGAATACATGTACTATTTGCTATTTGGGGAATGAAAAATAATAATTTTCTGTTCAGTAAATAATTTCTAATAGCTGTGATATTAAACCTGACAGTATGTTTGTTGTGAAGAAACATCGTCTACTTAAGGCTTTTCCTGTAGCCCTCTTGAAAGGACTCTTGGCACTTTTTAATCTTTCTGTGTTTATTCGTTTACCATCTTGTGATAAAAAACACAATTCTTATCAATGCTGTTGATAACTGATAAGCGCAGGGATGCAGTTAGCATAAATTCAGTGCTGCAGCTTCTTAGCTTGATTTGATACCTCCATATTGTTTAAAGTAGTCTTAGAGCACGGGCAAGAGACTTCAAGACAACCAGAGGTCAGCAAAGCACGTTATCATATTTATGTTTTGGAAATACAGTAATTTATAACCATACCTGCAATTCACAGGGACATTCATCAGAATCTATAGAATATGCATATGCCTGAAGGCTCTGCTTTGCCCTCTCATAATGTATAATCATCCTCTAGAAAACGGTGAATTAACGCTAGATCTGGGAGGAAATCTGAGTCCTCACTGGATGCAATTACAATAGGATTGAGCAAAAAGCTGGAGGTGGGAATGGTCTATTTTCCCAGCCTCTCTGCAGGTGTAAAAGGTTCTTTTTCTAAATAAACCCTGTGGGGTTGAATTTTAAATTATTGAGCTTGAAGGGCTTGGCCACCTGAACAAGCAAAAATCAATCCCTTCCTGGTAGCTGCATCCCACAGACCTCAGAGCGGCTGAACGGGGGATGGTCTCGATGCTCCTCCGTGCAGCAGAAGAGCCATGAGCTGTGCATCAGCACTGCACGTCCAGATTCCCCCCCTTGCTTCACCACTTGCCCTTGGCAAATACGTTTGCTGAAGCTACTGTGAGTAAAACCTCATGTGACTGGTGTTTAGGTTTGTGTGTGTAATCCCTGCAGTAAGAGAGACTGCTTAGCCATTATTGTAAATCCTAAGGATAAAATAGACGGGTTTATTTTTTCCTTCTTCATTAGCTGTACGTTAATTTACTATAAAGGAGCACAATTAACAGCTCTACCCAGTTGTTTAAGGAAATTTGACCTTTGAGATCCTAGAGCTTGTGATTTTGTAGGACAAATCCTTAGCTGGTATAAGTGTTTGTGGCTCTGTTGACACCAGATATCTGTGCTGCCACTGGTCTACTTCAGTTATAACACCTTGTGTAATTTTATAAATAATTTGAGTTCAGCAAGGTTAGATGTTTGTGGTACTGATTCAAAAAGAAAAATATTTAAAATCTCCGTTTGTATCATACAAGTTTGCTCTAACGTACACGAGCTAGACCAACCCAAGATCATGTGCAAGGGGAAATATTTTAACTAAATTAATAAAGGGTAGACCAACATCCTGTCTCCCTATACATAAGCACTGAAAAATGACTCGTTTTTAATATATCTACAAAACTGCCTTTCTTCTCTTTTAAGTTTAGGAATACTTCTCCAAGTATTTTTCTTTTGTCATTCCGTATCACTGAATTCCCTGGTTTTTAAGGCTATGTGGTAATATGATCTGACTTCCTCTATGGGCCGAAGCAAAGATTTCCAAGCTGTACTCCGTCTTACTTATGTGTGCTGTAATTCCGGTGAAGTTATTGCTTTAAAATAGTGAAATGCTATTTTTGTCTCCCTCTGCCATCCCTCCTAAAGGAGAATGCTTGAATAATTTCTCTCTAAAGTCTGAAAAGACATATAACTATATTTAAATGCTCTCAACGTGTAATGCTTCTTGAAACAGTTTGGTCCTGTGCATGTCACAGCTGGGAATATTCAAAGTGACTGATGGGAATATTCAAGGTGACTTATAAAGGCCATGTTTCTGGCGAATCAACCAAGTGGGATTAGATGGTGAAAGGGAAAAAAAACCCCATGTTTTTAAATGCATGTCATTTATTGCAGGGACACAAGGTGTCAATGATTCTGCCTTGACACCTGAGCCGTTGCTGCAAGGTTTGGCAACGCCATGTCCTCACCACCCGCTGTGCGGCCAGCCTGGGGAAAGGGAGAGAGTGCCAAGGGCCAGTGTCTTATCCCAGACCTGTCTCACCAGCACTTCGAGCCGTGGTGTCGGGCTCTGTGCTGGGTGCACAGGTGCTTGCTCTCGTTAGAAGAATGATGACCTTGGGGTAGAGGACTGGGGACAGAGGCTCTACTGCTTCGGCGTTTTGTCTTACACCACCGCAGCAACACGCACCAGAGCGTGCCTGGGTTTGCAGGCACCTTACTTTTCTTCTGCAATAAACATAATTGACCCCTCAGTGCAATTTGCCTTTGATGAGTTAGTATGAATAGAGGTTTGAATGTTTCACAGCAGTTCCCTACATTATGTAGGCTTTTATATCTGGGTGTCTATTTTTTATATATATATATATATATATATAAAAAACACCAATATATATACACATATATATTCCTCTATGATATTGTTTGTCTGGAGTGGAGTGTTTCTTGCTTTTCCACTCAGGCTAGTGCTGCCATCATGTTCCGATGCCGGCGTCCTCATTCCCATTCAGTTCGCGCACTCTTTTGCTCGGAAGGCCTTGGCAGACGGCACACTGCGTTCAGCAGCTGCCATCCGGTACTTCCCACAGTTATTTTCAGTTCCCTCCCTGAATGCAGCAATCCCGGTGACGACGGGAGGAGACGGGATGCGGGATGTACCCGTTTCAACAGCTTCCGACTCCCCGAACGCTCCTGCACCTTTGCAGAGACCACTCCGAAGGGCAGGAGGACAAACACGGGCCGGGTATTACGTTTTCTGGTAACTTACTGGCCTTGTGGGAAATCACTGTTTGCCTTTATTTGGGTACCAGGTCTAAAGCTCTAGTCCAGGAGTAACTTCTTTACACCGATGTTTTTTCTCCTGTCTTTTTCTGATGGGCAGATGAGATGCAAACTACCTGAGCTCTGTTCAGAGATTAATGCAGAGAAAAATACCCAAGTGTTCGACACGTAGACATGTGAGGAGTCTGGGGCTTTGTTTTTAATAAGTCACAGGAACTACTGTACATTTTTTCACCATGCATGGCCCGGGACACAGACACTTTCTTCCGCGTGTCTCACGTTTGCAGATGCCTTGCTCTGCCTTCTTGTGCGGGATGGCCGTGGTCCAGCCCCTCCTCTGATGGTCAGATAAACCTCGTTGGGTGGCTGGGAGCAGCAGAGCTGCCTTGGCTACTCCACCCCATTTTAGTTGCTTGTTAGCAGTGTTAAAAATAGTCCCGGACTGCAACGACAAACAAGAGAGAGCCTTTTGCTATTAAAGAAAAACTTAAAGGTTTAAAAAAAACCCCAAACCAACAAACAAAAAAAAAACACAAAAAACCAGGGCAGGAGTGCTACTGGGTAACTGAGCCACAGTTTATATGGCCTCTTCTGTAGTTTGTTGCTTCTCTTCCCTGTCAACCTGGCTTTTTACTTCAAGTCAGCCCAGTTCCTAAATGTCCCAAAAACGTGATGGAGATGTCACAGCATGTTTGCATTTATGTTATTTCTAATTTCAGATGAGCAGCTGAAAGAAACACAATTCTCCTGTGTGCACTCGAGCTGGAGGTGGCCGTGCTTTGCTGGGGAGCTGGGTTGTCTCTGGGGTCACCGCGAGAGGACTGGCAGCCCCAGGCCAGGGGACTGCCACCTCGCAGTGATGCTAACACCGATGTCACCTGGGAAAGTGGTCACAGCTGGTGGTCCTCATCCTGGAGCTGATATCCCTCATCCCTTCCAGAGAAGGGAACCCAAGCTGCTGTTGCTTTCATTTTTCATTCAGGTGTCAATGAATTTGCCTCATCACAGGCGAGGAAGGGACACCTCATGTACCCACGTGGCACGTAGCCTTTGGTAAACACTTGCTCATCACTGGAGTATTTGACCGTCTTGTGGTTTTTAAGCCTCTTTTCTGGCAGGCTCTGCTAAGCAGGACAGTCCTGCTGCTGGTGAGGGGCTTGGAGTCGCACAGGAAGGCTGAGATCTGGCTGGAGCACTGGTGAGTTTGTAGTGATCTGAACTAAAGTTGTGATCTGGGCCCTGCACAATGCTGTGAAGATCATGAAATGAGAGTGATGTTTGCAAGTGTCCAAAATCCTTAACTTTTTTTTTAAGAAAAATAGTCTCAAAAGTGGTTCATGCAGGAAAGTTCTCAAAGCACTGAAGAAAGCAAGCAGTTTGGGGGAAGAGTGAATTCCTGGCATCCTTCCCCCCAGCATGGAGAGCAGAAGAAAGGATAAGAAAGAGTTTGTGGTCTGACTGGAGAGGCTCTTGCCTTCCCTTGTGAATGTGACAGCAACTCGTTCCTGGGTGGGTGAGCTCCCAAATACCCCCCGGAAAGTGGCCAGCCACACTGAGCCAAGCCCTTTCTATCCCCTTCCAAAGGGCTGGCTCTGCTGCTTGCGTTTCCAAGCAGCCTGGAGAGCCTCACAGCCTGCCAGCCCTGCCACCAGGCACCGTGAGCAGCCATCCAGCCAAAGCTGCAATAAGCAGGGGGGTACCAGAACCAAACCTGCCCACCCCATCAGTGCCCTTGCCCAGAGAGCACAGTGCTTTGCCAGCCTTTTCCAAAGCTGCTGTCAGTAAAAGTGTCCATTACTTTTTTTTTTTTTGGAGTGGGTGAGTGTTCACGTTTTTTTTCCCCTTGGGGAGATTTATGACTAAGTGACAATGTGGCCTTGGTACAAATGAAGGCAAACTTGAAATAACTGGAAGAAGCAATTTCCTGGGGAGGGTAAAAGCGTTGTTGTTCTGCAAATGAATCAGCCCTGTTTTCTTCTACTATCCGATTTAAAACACTGCATGTTTTGGGCTCGGTGCTCTAATCCACTTAGTTGCTGGTCCTCTG